GTATGTTCATTTTTATTATGAAGACTCTTCCTAGCAATGAGGTCTGAAGTTTGGACCATTTCATCAAATCTTTTTTGAATTTCTTTCCAAACTTTATTATAATTGTTCTCAAAAAGATCTGTGTTTCTCTTTGTTATATTGATCCCTATATATTTTACTTTTTTCTCTATCTTAAATTTACTTTTTATTCCCAATTTTCCTCTTCTTCTCTATTCATATTTTTTTGCTATGATTGCTGTTTTATCCTGATTCACTTGAAATCCAGCTAATGCTCCATATTCTTTTAGTGTGTATAATAGTTTATCTATTCTTTTTAAGGGATCTTCCAAAATACAAACCACGTTGTCTGCAAATGTCTGTATTTTATGGGTATGTCCTATTACTCTGATTCCTTGGCTTTCCTGATCTTCCTTCATTTTTACTATTAATATCTCCAGAATCATTATAACTAATAATGACAATAGCGGACATCCCTGTCGAGTTCTTTTTTCTATATTGAAAGTTTCCATCTTTTCTTCATTGATTATAATTTGTGCTTTTTGTGTCAGGATTTGCTAGATGGGATATAGAGTCAGTCATGGAAATGTATAAGTTGTATAAGGAACTTTCCTGTGGGAAGGGATTGGAAGGCAAGTTGGGCTAGACAAACAACAGATGTCACACCAGACATAAACAGAAGACCAGAGAGGAGAAAAACAACAGGGTGTTTTGGGAAAGGAAAAGTACTGACCAAAACACACAACATCAGCATGTTGACAAGTTTGCAGGTCACATGGACAATGACATCAACACCAGGGGATGGACTAAAAGTCTGGGAAAGGTGGGTTCATCCAACTAACAGAAATGTACATTCCCAAGAGGGTGGTAGCTTGGGAGGGGGAGACAAAATCTTTTCTCTGTGTATTGTTTTGTGATTGAGAGAGGGAGCTGGGAGGTTCAACTGGTAAATCACTGTGTGGTGTGTTGCAAAGGATTGTTTTGTAAATATCCAAGAACTGTAAATAGCTTATTTAGTTGTAGTAATAAAGCATCTTTTTATTTGCCTACAAGTGGAGTATTTTCTGACTGCTGCTAAAGCTGGAGAGCTGAGGCAGGAGAATCAAGTTCCAGATGGGGAAAAGTCGGGAGGCATGCAGGAGAAGGGTCAGCTTGTCCTGTCAACTCTGCTGAATGGTAGAACTACCTCAACACACATCATCCACCATACTCACATTTTGTTCTTTGTAAATCATTTGAATCCATTTTTCAAATTTATCTTCCATATTCATATTCAAGGACCCCTGGTGGCGCAGTGGTTAAATGCCTGTACTGCAGCCACTCACTCATAAACCACAAGATTGCAAGTGCAATCCTAGCCACGGCTCAGGCTAGACTCAGCCCTGCATCCTTCTGAGGTCGCTAAAATGAGTACCCAACTGTTGGGGGACAATGAGCTTACAGTTGTAAACTGCTTAGACACCACATAGCACGGTATGAAGCAGTATATAAATGAAGCTGCTTTGCTTCATATATTTAATGATTTCTTTCATGAAAGACCAGCTTATTTTATCAAAGGCCTTCTCGGCATCTATGAAAATCATTGCTACATGTTTATCATTATCTTTCACAAAATATTCTATAACGTTTAAAACTTCTCATAAATTGTTCCATATATATCTTTTGGCTAAAACCCCATTTTGATTCTTTTGTATATTTTCCTTTAGAATTTTCTTTAATCTGTTTGCAATAACAGATGTGACTATTTTATAATCCGTGTTTATTAGGGAAATAGATCTATAATTTTCCACTTCTTGTATGTCTCTACCCTCCTTAGGAATTAATGTAATATAAGTATTTTTCCAAGATTCTGGGATGCTATTTTTTGTATATTGTTTAGTGTATTTTTTTAAAGTTTCATTATGATCTCTTCCATTTTTTTTTATTTTTTTTATTTATTTTTTTTAAATAAAATTGGAAATCCATCTGGTCCTGGTGCTTTTCTGACTTTCATTTTTTTATTGTCTTTGAGATTTCTTCCTCTGTGATGTTCTGGTTTACATCTTTTCTCTGTTCTTCTGTCAGTTGAGTTATTTTCTGTTTCTCCAGATATTTTCATATTTTCCCTTTATTATTTTCCTCTTTATTCATATATTTATATGTTTCAAAACATTTTTAAATTGCTTTTTAATGTTTTCCTGATTTATAAAAAAAATCCTTTTTTTATTTCAGATATTAACTTCTTATTCTTTTCTTTCCTTAATTTATTAGCTAAAATTTTACTAGGTTTGTTTCCCAATTCAAAATGTTTTTGTTTCGTCCATTGCATTTTTCTCTCTAGTTCTTTCATTGTTATATTTTTCAATTGGTTTTCTAGTATTTGAATTTCATATTTTATTTTTCTGTTTCCTCCATTTTCCAATTTTCTTTGTCTCTTAATTCTCTCAGCAATTTCTTCTTCTTCTTCTTCTTCTTTCCTCCTTTCCCCCTGTATATTATATTTTATCAAAAGACCTCTGGCTACAGCCTTTCTGGCATCCCATATTGTTTTATATTGTGTCCCTTCCAATGTATTATCTCTATAGTAAAGGTCAAGTTCCTCTTTAAGTTTATTGACTGTGGTTTCTTTTTTCATTAGATATTCTCTTAATCTCTAAGAGTATGCAATCCTTCTTTCTTTTATCTCAAGTTTGATTGGGTGGTCTGATATGATTTTTGGTTAAATGTCCATTTTTTGAATTTTAGGTAGAATTATATTTATAATTATAAACATATGAATTCTTGACATTGAATTGTATACTTCTGAAAAATATGTATATTCTTTAGATTGTCCATATTTCATTCTCCAAATACCCAGCATTTCAAATCCTTCCATCATTTTGAGGAAAGATTTGGGGAATTTTCCTTGATTTAATTATTTTTTGAAAATCGACACTATCTTGCTGTGGTTCAATTACTGTGTTGAAGTCTCCCATTATTATTACATTATCATAATTCTTTTATTATTATCTCAAAAAATTATCTCTTTTTTCCATTGGAGCATAAATTCCAACTACTAAGATTTTTAATTCCTTAAATTTTACTTCCACCACAATATATGAACCATTATTATCTTTAAATATCTCTTTTGAATTGTATTTCTTATTTTCATATATAGATATCCCCCTTTTTTTCTTTTTTCTGTTGATGACACATAACAATTTCCTAGTTTAGGTTTTCTCAAGTATTTAATGTTGCTTTCTTTGATTTTTGTTTCCTGTATACAAATAATGTCTTTTTGTCTTTTCTAAGTAATGGAACACCATATTTCTTTAATATTTTGAATTTATTCCTTTTGAATTCCATGAAGTAGCTTTGATCGTCATACTTAATTTTCTTTATATATTTTTTTCCTTTCTTTTTGACATATAACTTAGATTAGTCTTTCTTCACTTCATTGTATTGCTGTGTTATATTATGTTCCACCCCTTTTTTTGTATATAGTTTATTTATTTATTTGTTTATTTTATTTTTATTCTGATTTTAGTTGTTAATTTTCTTGATGTTCTTCTGTATTGTTATCTTTTAGCCTTCCTTTTTTGTTCCCTTCTTTTTTTTTTCCTAGTTCCTTTTCGCTTTCAACTTCTGATTCTTCTTCCGTTTATTGATCTGTTATAGCCCATTAATGTAATTAAAGGTCAGGAGCAAGTCTTGCCCCCAACCTTTCATGGCACCATCTCACCAGAAATTCCATTTCAAACAGGATTATTTCTGCAGTGAAGATTCAGCCATAGTCACAATACTGATTCAAAGTTAGACCAGGGTAAGGGTAATCCTATATAATTTGCAACATTGTTTCACTGGTAAAGGTTTATATTCAATACATTTTCAGCAATCCTATTGCCAGTTCAGTAGGTTCTTTACCATGTTTGCCAGTTAGGATTGTGCTTTAAGACTGCAAACATATATGCAGTAAGTTGGAAGTAAATCTCATTGAAGTGGATGTCAGTCACTTCTACAGAGAAAAGTCTAGGTTTGTCCTGCAAACCTGTGAACACCTACGTTGGAGTAAGCCCCACTAAACACACTAGCACTTACTTAGGAATAGATCAAGACAACCTCCTGGGGTGCTGGTTTTGAGGACTGGCTCTCTCATTCCATCTATTTAACTTATAATTTATCTGCTGAAGTAAATATTATGAACACTTCATATGGCAGGGGTGAACACAAATTTGTAGCTCCTAGTGTGCAAATGGATTTTCTTATATGACCAGGATAAGTCATGCATGCAACCTGAATATCAAAGTTGTGAAGTAGACTATAAAATGAAATATCCATATTCAAAAACTGATCAAATTAAGGAGGAGCTCAGGATATCCTTGCTTCAGGTGCCATTGGGCCTGTAGCTGGCCTTGGACTCTCCAGTAAATAAGTACAGGATTACAGTCCCAAGCACACTCATTATGGAATGATCAGAAGCTTGGAACAGTGTCCTGTAATTAATTCTTTTATCCCATAACAGACAGCCTCGGCAGACGACTAATAAAGTTGTCTCCGAGGCAAGGAAGAGGAGGGGCAGCCGCACGAGCGGCGGCCCTTCCTCCTCCCGACGTTGCCCTCGGAGCTGCCAGCCCTCCGCACAGCCGGCGCCCTGGGGGCAACCTCCTGCCGCAGCGGCCTCACACACTGCGGTGGAAAAGCCAGGGAAAGTGCGCCCTACGCGTTTAGGGCGCACTTTCCCTGACTTCTGAAAGGAGCACTATTTTTGCGCTTCTTTCAGGGATGCCGCTGGTGTGCCGTGGTGCGGAGGCTGCGGTCCCACGGTGCACCGTCCCAGGGCGTCTTGGACGCCCTGGTCTGCTTCCCCCCTGAGCCATAACTACATTAAACTATGTTGTTGTTGGGTGCCTTCATTTCTGATTTATGATGACACTAAGGAGTTTTCATGGGATTTTCTTGGCAAGATTTATTTAGAGGAGGTTTTCCATTGCCTTCCCCTGAAGTTGAGACCATGTGACTTGGCCAAGGTCACCCAGTAGGTTTTATGGTCAAGCTGGGAATTGAACCCTGGTCTCCAGATTTGTAGTCCACCATATTCAAACCACTACACCACACTAGCTCACACATTAAACTATAACTGTAACTTAACAAGGGATCCCTTCTTTTTCAGTGTAACATTTTAGCTACTTTTAATAGTCATGTTGGTATGACTTCATGGTTAAATGTTGCAGGAGGAATGTCACATAATTCAAGTGCTGATTCTCTTGAGTCATGTTGTCTTGGGCTCTGCTGTGAATATTGAAGTGACAGTGAGACAGAAGGGAGGCAACTGTTTTGTACTATAGGCCAACACCTTGTAGCATTCAATTTTTTTAAAAAAAAGTTACAAAATCTGAGAAACTGGAACATAGTTATTTTATTTTATTCTATTTTAATTCCACCAATGGAACATATCAAAGCAGGCCCCATATGGGTCATCTATTGTTATGGTGGCATATTGCTTTGAAACCTAATTGTAACTATTTTTTCTAAAGTCAGTAATTTCCAGTTAAGTGAATCTGTGGAGTTCAGAGGCATTTATAAGGAGGAAATGATATTTCTGAGGAGGTTCCTTTCTCTCTTCAAACTGCCATTTTTCTACAAAATATCCTTCTTTCCCACAGCTAGTGTTCTGAGTTATGTTTTGTTTTTAGTAAGAACATGTCAATAATTTATTCTAAAAATTTAAAGGACAAAGTTCTGTAAATACTTGTGGTTCAGTGACAGAGGTAAGTGATGTTATATACCTTCTGTCCTCTTGGAAGAAAGTAAGGAAGACTTTCTATTGCTCCATTTCTGTCTGTAGATGGGATGTAGTGCGAAAGAATTCATGGTGTTGGATCTACTTGACAGATAAGGTTTGCACCTTGGATAATTTATTAGAACACTGATTAAAATCTGGAACAGCTTCAACACCCAGCACCCAATAGTCAAAGGACAGCCATAGCTAGTTTTTTGCATTTCTGCCTCTTCTGCTTATTTTAAAATATCCTATATCTTCAGCCATGTGTTTTTCCTTCTCCTGAACAACTGGTTGCAGCTACTGCAGACTTTCAATTAACCCAGCAAGAGGCAGCCTGTTTTCCTGGTCTGGTAGAAAGGAAATGAGTAGACTCTTGCCTTTCTCAGCAAAGGAGGAAGTATTGTGGCTACCTGTGGGAGTTTTACTTCGATGGTCCAAGTGAATGCAGTCATTTCTTTTGGTAAGCAAAGGATTGCTTTTTGAAGGAGTCCCCTTTGAATTACAGCACCCCATAACTGTACACCAGGCTGTCTTTTTCTCTCCCACAGACACGTAGATTCTCCCATTGGTCCCCTACAATAGGGGTAGGCAAACTTTCCCCTTTAAAGGCCAAGAGACTTCAGCTCTCAGAAGCCTCAGCCAATAGTCAATAGTCCAATGTTGGTCAATAGTCCAATGTTGGCCAATAGCTCCTGGGATTCTGGGAGCTAAAGTCCCTCGGCCCTTAAAGGGAAAAGGTTGCCTACCCCTGCCCTACAATAAGATGAACACTGCAGAGAAGTACCTTATCTCTCTCCCCATTTAGTTCTGTAGATCTGTTTGTTTTCAAGATTTGCATAAATTTTAATTCTTACTTGTACTGGTTTTGCATCCCACTGACCAGAAGGAGTTCTCAGGGAGTGACCATGGATCTATAAAAAAGCTGAAATTTTCAACAGAATCTGATTTATTATATAACATTTATAGTTAATCATACTACGTGTAGATTCACCAGCATGTGCATGACAGTCTTGAGGTTCCTTACTGGCGTATCAGCCAAAGCTGGTAACAGGTGCTCCTGACCATCATGTTTACCTGATTTGTCATCAGGAGCGATGTATCAAGGAGCACCCTCAGACTGTGAATGCAGTCCTTTACGGAGAGTGTGACCCCCATCGGGACCAGAGGTTGCAGCCCAATTTATGGTTTCAGGGCTGCTGCTGTTAGCACCTCCGTTTTGTCTGGATTCAGTCTCAATCTGTTTTTCCTCATCCAGCCCATTACTGCCTTAAGACATTCATTGAGAGAGGAGACACCACCGGAATTCAAGGTCGATGATCGAGATATGGAGAAATAGATCTGGGTGTCATCAGCATACTGATAACACCCAGCTCCATAACTCCAAATGATCTCATCTAGCAGCTTCATATAGATGTTAAACAACATCGGGGACAGAATGACGCCTTGAGGAATGCCACAAGTAAGCTCCTTTTTACTGGAGCAACTATTCTTGAGCAGCACCCTCTGAGATCTGCCCGAGAGGAAGGAATGGAACCACTGCATAGCAGTGCCTACAATTCCCACCCCCTTCAGGTGACCCAAGAGGATGCAATGGTCTATCGCATTGAAAGCCTCTGAGGGGTCTAAAAGCACTAACAGGGTCACACTACCCCTGTTGATGTTAAGATGCAGGTCGTCGGTCAAGGCAACCATGGCAGTCTCAACTCCAAATCCTGTCCTAAAGCCAGTTTGAAATGGGTCTAGATAATCGGTTTCATCCAAGACAGCTTGGAGTTGAAGAGCAACTGCCCTCTCGTTTACCTTGCTCCAAAATGGTAACAAAGAGATTGGCCTATAGTTGTTCATATCCAGGGAAGGTTTTTTCAGAAGCAGCTTAACCACCGCCTCCTTTAAACAAGGCGGTGTATTGACAATGTCTGTAAGGAACATCCTCAATGCATCCCCCCGGACGGCCAGCCAAGATGGCAAGGATCAAGAGGACAAGTTGTTTTCCTCACTCTACCAAGGAGCTTTTCCATGTCATTGGTACTCACAGATTGAAACTGATCCAGGATAATTTCATTAATGAAGTCGCTGGACACCTTGTCAGTTGTTTCTGTCAAAACACTGGCATCTAAGTCAGCTGTTATCTGAGAGATCTGCAAAAAAGTTGTTAAACACATCACAGCAGGCCATTGTTGGGTTAAGTAACAGGACCTGGGCAGGAGGTACCTGTGTCAGCTCCCCCACCACCCTAAACAGCTCTGCTGGATGGGACTTTGCAGATGCAATACGTGCAGAACAGACTGATCTCTGTGCTGCACGTATTGCCTCTCAATAGGGCCAAAGAAAGTTCCTAGGATGAGTCTGGTCAGATAAGAGTCAAGTCTTCCACCAGATGTGCTCTAGTCATTGTCCAACCTGCTTCATTTTTCTAAGCTCTGCTGTATACCATGACTTCTAATTAGGAGCAGGTTGGAAAGGATGTGTCAAGTATTAACCAAAGCTTTGATAGGGTCACCAGCATTACTAACCATTTGTCGGGTTTTGATGGGATATATAGTCAATGTTAAAATGTTGAAATGTAAAGATGTGTGTCTGTATTTTTCCTTGATGAGAAAAACTGCTTCTTGGGCCTAATTTCACAACAACCAGTCCAGGTGTTTGAGAGTCAAAACAAAGGCTATTTAACGAGCTAAAATACTGTCAGAAAGAGTTTTGCTTTCAGAAGGGTTTTCAATAACAAAGATTGTTTTGAGAGTATCAGTCA